CCCGCCGCCCCGCCGGGCCGCTTCCGCTTCCGCCGGGAGGGGCGGCCGGGCCGCGCCAGCGCCCCCTGCAGGCGGGGAGGAGGCGGTGCCACCCCCGCCGGGCACTGCTGGGTACACGGGTGAGGGCGCCGCCTGGCGGCCGGGAGGACCGGGCTGCCCGGAGCCTGGGGGTGGGAGGCGGAACACTCCCCCCCCTCCGCCCATCGGGACCCAGCGCCACCAAAATCAGCGCTGTCCTCTTTTAGCCTTATTGGCAGCAAAGTCTCGGGGGGTATAATCGTTGCAATGGAAGAGTTTAAAAAGGTTGGGGCACGGGGGGCCCCCACCTGGAGGGGCTGCGTCCAGTTTGGGGCCCCTCACTACTCAAAAGCCATTGAGGGGCTGGAGCGCGGCCAGAGAAGGGCATGGAGCTGGTGAGGGGTCTGGAGCACAAGTTTTGTGAGGAGCGGCTGAGGGAGCTGGGGGTGTTCGGCCTGGAGAAAAGGAGGCTGAGAGGGGAGACCTTCTCGCTCTTGACAACCCCCTGAGAGTGTAGCCAGGGGGGGTCGGTCTCTTCTCCCAAGGAACAGGCGATGGGACAAGAGGAAACGGCCTCAAGTTGCACCAGGGGAGGTTTAGGATGGATATTAAGAAAAATTTCAACACGGAAAGGGTCCTCAGGCATGGGAAGGGGCTGCTCAAGGAAGCGGTGGCAAGAAGCGGCCCATGGCCAGGGTGGGGACCGTGGCCGGGAGGGAAGAGGAGAGGAGGGGGCTCCCCATTAAGGCAAACCCCTGCGGGTGCGAGCAGCGGCGGGACGGGCCGGTAAAGAGCCGCCGAAGGGCGTTGAAAGCCAGCGGTGCCCGAAAATACCTGCGGGCTCTCCAAGGGGTCACCGCCCCCGCGGCCACCTGAGGGCACTGAGGGAGGGGAAGGTGGGAGGCCTCACCCGGACGGGGTGCGACTGACACGCAAAGCCCGGAGAGGCCGAAGGGGAGAGCGGGGACGCACCGGGACGACACCCGGGGACGAGAGAAGAAGCTGCGGGATGCGGCTGGCCCTGCAGAAGGCGGTAGCGGGGTAGCAGAGCCCGCACCACGCTGTCAGCCATAACCGCCCCCCCCCTCACACACCCCTCCCCGCTCAGC